GGGAGGGGAGAGAAAAGTGTGTGTGTGGGGGGAGGTAGGCAGGGGCAGAGAGTGGGGCAGAGAAGAGGGGAAAAGGGGGACAAAAAGAAAGGGGGAACGGCACAGGTGTGACAGAGGGAGGGAGCACAAGTGAACACCAGCTCAGGCACCACACAACAGCTTTGATGAATCAAGTAGCTGGGAACAGGAGAAACAAATTTAGGAAATGATGTGACAGTCCTATCTGACTCATCTTTGCTAATGCTCAAGTGCCTCAAAATCAGAAATACCTTCTCCTCTCAACAGCTTGCCCAACACTATAGCTTCTTTCCTCACTTGTCTAATACCCTCTTAATGCGATTTTAAACAAGGATTCTTAAAACACATTTGGAAAGAGAAAAGCCTCTAGTAAAGTACTTGTGATAAGTCGCCTATCTAGTTACATGAAAAATAATACAGAAATTCCAGTAGGTATAACAGAAAAAAGTTCACTGATGTGGCAGTATAAAAGCACCAGAACTTCAGATTTTCAAGGCCATCTTAGTTATGACAGGGAATTCTCCAGTGCCTTAAATACCTCTAGTTCAGAAAAACAGAAAAAATAATTTAGCCTGCATTTGTCATAATCCTTCTTTCTGGTTACAAATTCAGTGTTGTATGTTGCAGAAAAATGTCAGTAAGATCCTGCCCTATAAATTCATATCCCTCAGTAGTGTCCATGTAAATGTCAGATTGTGAACACAAACAAAAAAATTTGGAAATGTTGTAGATATCAAGCCAAAGTAATGCTCTGTATCAGCGGGTGCTTCTCTTACCTTCTTTAATGTCTTTCCAGGCTCTTCACCTGACTTTGTGGTGTAAAAATTTTACAAGTTAGGGGATACTTATGACTTTTTTTTACAATACTTAGCAAAAAAGTGCCATTGTGAGGATACAGATAGGCTCAAACTTTTTATTAAAAAATAACCAATGGAAGCAATAAAAATAATACAACTTGTCTACAACAAAAATATCCCAAAGTTAAGATTTTACCCTGAACAAGAAGAACAGATGACTGCCAAGAAAGTTTATTATTGTTATTCATGTGAAAACCACTCAGATGCTGTAAGGAGTGGCTACATAAATTCTTGACAGTTTCCTGAATTGGCTGTTCCATGTTATTTCAATATTAATAAAGGCATAATGATGAGGGAATAACAGACACAACTCAAGTGATCTCTTCCACATGCACATTCTCCAAAGGAAAAAATAAAAAGCTTGTACGATTATACAACGAAAGCCACCTCACACATGCAAATACACACTTTATTAAGAAGTCCAGAGAACCCAACCTCCACCAGCACCCCCAAATACTGTAAAACAGTAGAGGCTTCATAACTCAAGGACAAGAAAAAAAATATTGCATGGTACTGAAATATAAAGAGGTGACCACAGGACTGAAGAGTAAATATTCTTGCTAAAGCCCATAGAAAATTCTAATTGTCTTCCACACAACATTTCAGCCTAAATTATATTCTCTGAAAGACAGAGTGGAGTATTTCCAGAACATATTAAATTTAAAAAATACTTGTATTTCCTTTCTTTCAAATATTTTCCTACCTTTAGCTATTTATGACATATAAGTATCAGGACATAATTGGAGCCACAGGGGGAAGTATATCTGTGTTCTCCTTCTAAATGTTTTTAAAAAAGAAATACTTTTTCTGATTTTCCTCAGAAGTTCACCTTGGTGCTGGAATTCAGTCTTAATTAGTATTAATCATAACTTTCAATATCAAATACACTATAATAGCAGTAAGAAAAAACAATGTTAGTTATTAAATAGAAAATATCTTGAAATAACACTGAACTATAATTCCTTTTTATCTTCAACAAAACCAGAAAATAAAGTCATATTTTAACAGAACAGTTCATTTGTAAACTTTTATTTCTTTAAGTTATATTCTGTAGTGTAGAATATAAATTGCAATTCAAATACATACTTAAGAAGAAATTAATAATTACTTAGTTCTGTAAAAACCTTTACTGCCATCCCAGAATGCATAAGAAAATGTACATCGGTGTAAACAAAAAAACCCATTCTGAACTCTGTCTTCTCCTTCTAAAAAAATAAAGGTACAGTCCAAAAATTCTGTATTAATACATAAATACTCCTAGGTAAGTTTATATACGTACTTCAGAAAACATGTTACTGACTAAAACACAAGCATGTATATAGCAAACATGCTTATAGTAAGACTGGAACCTTTGGGTAGTCCTGCCATTCTAGTAAGTTCAAGCTGCAGTGTATAAAATTAATAAAGTAGGTACAGTCTAATTACTAAAGATACCCAGACATCACTGCATCCCATTAATACGTACTTTGCTCTACACTATTGTTTATATATAAAGGCTATGCAATGGTTTTCTACCTGGAAAACAGTATTTATAAATTGTGATTATTTTTTGGAGGAGCAAAGAAAGAGAAAAGGACAAGAAGATACACACATTAGTTTGAAATCTTAGAATGTCCATCTCTGTTTACACACATGTTAAAAGACTTCAAGATTAGAGTCTTGGTTTCAAATTAGAAAATACTTGCTTTATGGATTCATTTAGGCTGAGAATAAAATAAACAGAAATTTCACACAAATTTTGCTGTGCTTCAGAACAGATAGTGTTATTTTTGCCAACCAGAGACAAAAATTTTCAAGAGTAATCAGGCCTAAATTTAATCCAGAGTTTAGTACTTTGAACAGACTGATCTATCACAAGCAACTACTTAATGTCTAATAATTATTAATTTAATACAAGGAAGAGCTTCCCCCTCTCCCCCCCAATTCATTAAAAAATTCACATTAATCACTGTACTGTATTATGAAACGTACAACTGTCTGTCAACAAAAAGGGTTTCCTGGTATTCAAAGTATACTTAAATAATAGGAGAATCCTAAAAAACATATCTAATTATGATGGATGATTAGAATAAGGAAAAGAGAAATGAGGGAAAAAGAAAGAGTGATACAATTTTTAATATCCATATATGTAAGTTCACGTTAATTTGATAGATATTTACAAATATGTTTAGAAACCCATCATTAATATTTTCTATCAAAATAATGACTGCATTTTAATTGTCAGGCAAATGGAGGGAGAATGACAGGCACTGTAATACTTTCCAAGTACCATGAGAAACAAAACATCTTGTCATAATGTCAGAGACACCTACAGACAGAATATAATTTCTGACAGAACTTACTTTCTGCTGCCTGCAATATAATCTCATCAAGCTCTTTTTCAAGTTTTTCGTAAGTATCTAGCCTTGCTTGAAATTCAGAATTCTGTGTTTGAAGTTCAATAATGCGTGTTTCACTTGAAGACTGAAGACTATAAAACTCCTTAGTAAGCACCTGTGAGAATGAATAATGGAAAGATCAGGGATTCAGCATTACAGCTATTTATGAAAGAGGCAAAATATAATACACATAAAATGCTTAGTAGTATGATACTAAACATTGACGTAACTTTTGCACAGGAAAGATTAAAATATTTTAAAAAGCTGTTCTTTTTTCAACTATATTATCTTGCACGGATTACATGCTCAGGTCATATCACTTATGCCTATCTCGTAAGGCTTTAGTAATTCAAAGAATCTCTCTCTGAAAAAGCTACAATTTTAAAGGAGACTTTTGAAAAGCAAGGCAACAGCTAAAAAAAAAATACACAGCAGTCTAAAGAGTGTAAATACGTGTATTTTTGTTGCTTAAACTGGACTCAGATGTCAGTTATTAATTTTTAAAAAAGAAGGTTCCTTTACAGAATGGTAAATGCACAAATATAAAAATTTAGTATTTAAGTTATACCAGATTCTTACGATTTACTTGTTACTGAAAGGTAATACGCCATTAACATTCAGGACTAACGTAAATACGTAATTCACTAAGCTTAAACAAAAAAGCACATATTCAAAAGTAAAAGTTATGAAGGTCTGTATAAGAACTGAAGCTTGATATATTGCTTGAAAATAGAAAACAACATTGACAACATAAATACTATTAAAACCAACTGGAATAAAAAAAACCTTGGTAAGTAAAGCAGTAATCTACATGCTTTGCAGAAATCACCTCCCTCCAAAACAGGTAAAGTAATAACCAAATAGTACTGTAGCTAAGTTTAATACTAACTTCCCAAACGAAAATCCCAAACATTCAAGGTGACAATTCAATACAGATCTTGAGATACAAAAATACATGCATAGTGTATACAGCAGTAGTGTCAGATTCACTATAAAAAACACTAAAGAATGCACAATGCTTAGAGAAACAAGCCATTCACAAAAGAATAAACATATAGGTTAAAATCTGGCATCATATAAACTGTTTCCTAGTTTTAGCATGCATAAGAAGAGAAACTATGCTGAAAGCCAAATAAAAACAAGAGTTCGTTCACAAAGCAGCTACAGCTGCACAAGATACTAGTGACTACGCTATTAAGATCCATATCCTGTAAGAAGGATAAGAAAAAACCCTTAGTACATTGATACCACATATAAGAAAGGAAATAAAAAAAATAAGAATTCAGTCAAAAGGAACAGAAGTAAAAGCTTCAGACATCAAACACTTAAATTCTGCAAGAATATTTCTTAATGAAAGAGCACTGGTTTCAAAGTGTCTCTAAGGAGAAAAGAAGTGCCAAAAGTGTTAGTAGAATTGAATGCCAAATGTTCAAGATGTGATTCAGATCAAATAAATATCCAGAACGAAAAAGGAAATATAACTCGAATTTAACTTTTTTCTCAAAGTTGAGACATGTCTGTGCAATTAAAAATCTGTTCAGCAACCTCAAAGTCTAGCAAAACCGGCACTCCCAGTGCTCATGACCACAATTAACCTCATCAGCCAGGATCTGAATGTCTCAATACAGACAAAACAAGAAATTATATTTTATCTAAACCTCTCTAATTCTGTTTCCACTCTATAGTTCCTTTTCATAAACACCCCAGGCAGGTTCACCACTGGAAATGTGGGGACTTGAAGAACAGCATCCTTCTCCAAAAAATTAAGGCTGCCATAGCTGGCATTTGGAAAAAAGGTTTTTATTCTGTCCTGTCCAGTTTGTACCCTGACGTTTTAGACATACACTGCCAATCTCATTTAAATCTCACAAATTGGACTCAGCGATATGATTTGGGGGCTAACTGTGCACAGGTGAATAAATCATGTTTTAAAGTAAGTTTGCTCTGCTGAATACTGGACACATTTCCCATACTAAAATAGGTGAACAGGATACAATACATTCTTGAAAGTACACCTTCAAAACATAATAAATTTTAAGCTTTTAGAGATAAAAAGATCCAAGTCATTCAACGTTGTGTAAAAGGTGCCCAGGTGCTGGCAGCTGGGGCTGTGGGGGCCTCTGGGGGGGGAGGCGGGGGCTGCCCCAGGCTGGACACAGCCGGTTCCAGCCGGCTCCAACCGACCCCACCACAGGGCACGGCTGAGCCCCCGCAGCCAAGGTGAGGGCACCTCGGGGGAAAATGTATTTAAGAAAGGGCAAAACTGCTGCATGGCGAGGGGAAAAAAGTGTGAGAAACAGCCTTGGTGCAGACACCAAGGTGAGGGAAGGAGGGGAGGAGGGGGCTCCAGGTGCTGGAGCAGAGATTCCCACGTAGCCTTTGGAGAAGACCATGGCGAAGCAGGTTGTCCTCCTGCAGACCATGAAAGACCACACCAGAGCAGATATCCACACTGCAGTCCACAGAGGATCCCATGCTGGATCAGGTGGACATGCCCTGAAGGAACTGCTACCTTTGGAGAGCCCAAGTAGGAGCAGATTTTCTCCTGAAGGAAGTTGCAGCCCATGGAGGATCCACACTGGAGCAGGGTAAAAGCATGGGAGGAAGAAGCAGCAGTGAGGAGCCATCATGAACTGACCCCACTGCCCACTCCCCGTCTCTCCCTGCGCTGCTCGGGGAGGTGGGGGTATAAGAGAAATGAAGGAGGGAAGTTAAACCCAGAAGGGAAAGGGGTGGGGAAAGATGTTTTAGTTTTTGTCTTTGTTTCTCACCATCCAAATCTATTTCAAGTGGTAATAAGTGAAATTAATTTTCCTCAGGTCAAGTCTGTTTTGCCCATGATGGTAACTGGTAAGTGATCTCCCTATCTTTACACCACCCCACAAGCTTTTTCAGCCTATTTACCCCCCTCTCCTCTTGAGGAGGGGGACGGGGAATGCGGCTGGGTGGCTGTCTGGCAGCCGGCCAAGATCAGCCCACCACGACAGCATTAGCAACATTAGGTCTCTGATGCTGTATACACCATGCTCTCCTTGACCTCTTCAGCTATAAAAATTTGTTCTAGAATTGTGTATCATTAAAAAGTATTTTTATTATGTCACAATGCTATTACAAATCCTAGTTTTAAATAATGAAACTGAATTCACCATAACTGTTCCGGTATAACAAAAAAATACAATAATCACACAGACTGACATAAGCAGCTCTGTGGTGATACAAGCATATATACATGCCTCACATGAATGAGGTACCTTCTTCAACGTCTCTCCATGAGAGATTGTTTGGCCTTCTATGTCTCCCTGAGTCTTGCTTTCCCTTGGACTGGACAAACTTAATAAGCTTTGTTGTTAGATTCTGCTTCACCAGAATTTGGCGGAGACACTAATGCAGCTGTGTGTGCTCTTTGCCACTTTTGCCCCAAGCTTTTCAATTTTAAATTCTAACTAAAAAAAACACCAAAAATGTAATGTCCCATAAAGTGTCTCTTTATGTAACATACCTCCAGCTTTCTCTGATATTTCTCACATTCCATTTGGCACTGTGAAAGATTCTTAGCTGTTTCTTGTTGCATGAGTTGAACATGTTCAGTTTCAAAGGACTTTAACTTACTCTGGTGAAGAAGTTCAGCTACTTTGCTTTCTGTGCCAAGCTGCATTTGTCTATACCTAAAAGAAAAAAAAAAAAGAGAAAAAAATTTTGAAACACACATAGAATACATGCTAGTCTCGTTCATTATAGGTATAAATTTCAGAAATTAATACAGAATTTTTAAGAGTTTATTAATTATTAGTATGGTTATCTATATAACTATTGTAACTTGTATTTGAAACATCATTAGGCAAATTCAGTACTGTAACGACAACAAAACACAGCATGCAGAAAACACAGTCCATGGCTTTTCTGAATAAGTGGTTAACACACAATCAAATGACAATGACCTTACAGTATACCTCATTTTTAAAAAATGTTAGATGAATGTGAATCTCCTTCTCAGTACACAAACGTATGCACTGAAGACTTTTCATGGGAGAGGTACTACAGAGATGTTATCTCCCGTTTTCACCACCAGGTGTTACACACGATAGGGAAAAGTGGTATTAGACATCAGTGGTATCAATGGTGCACCCCTTGGGTTACGCCTTTGGGATATCATGGATATCAGCTGCTTTTTCCCATACCCAAAGATATGAAGAAATGTCACACCACAATGGTGTATTAACTTCCACAGTCATTCAGAACCACGGGGCCTTCTCAACAAGCAGAAATGAAGTATATTTTTGAGAACATCACTATAAGGTAATCATAGGTGACAGATAAATAATACTCCACTTACAATTGGACTTCCTTCATTCTACTCATTATACTTAGCAGGCAATCTCAAAAAAGAGGGGTTAAAAAGTTTGCTGGTAGAATACTTAATTACTGGACCGTAGAAAATGAGGGTAATGTGAAGAACAGTAGAAAACCTTATGAACCTTAGCATTAAATAACATCTGACATTCAAAGGAGATACATGCAAAGTAAATTACAGCTTGTAAAAATGATCCTAAATGTATACATAAAATGATGAACTTCTTACTGACTGTTTTCATTCATGAGTGAGATCTTGGGGTTATACTAGACAAATCCATGAAAACTTCGGCTCAGTTTTAAACAACAGTCGAAACCAACATTTTGGGAATTACTGTGAAAGCAACAGAAATCACGTCACTTTACAGTTCCATGCTGTTGCCTGTATACTGAATGCTGACTACCGTTCTAGTACCTCACTTCACAAGGAATATAACAGAACTGGTAAAGCATCAGAGAAGGGTAATAAGGATTACTTTTGACAGTCAGCAACATCATGCACTCATACAGTTGCACTGCATGGAAGAAATTACTTAAGCAAGTTAGGACTCTACAGCTTGGAAAAGAGATGGTGTAAGGAAACGGGAAAAACAAGAGAGGCCTGATACATAACGAGTGGCACAGAGAATGAGTATAGGAATCAGTCATTCACTGGATTTTCCAACAGATGAATGAGAAGGCATCTAATAAAGCTAGCAGATACAAATGAAAACAAATAGAAGTTGTTCTTCACACACGAAAGCTGTGAAATTCTGTACCATAAGATGTTGTGGATGCTAAAAATTAACACTTACTGAAGAGGATAATGAATAAACTTAGCAGAGAAATCCTTTCACAACTATTAAACGCAAGATGGTACTTCTCACAGGGAAGTCACTTAACAACAAATTGTTAGAATGCCAGATAAACCTTTACTCTAACCCAGCATGGCTGTCATGTTAGCTGTCATTCGTCAAACAGCAGTTGCAACACAATTCCACCCTATTTAGCACCTGATCTTTAGGTGGGATTGAGACCATTTAACAAAAACAAGGGGATTACTTCAAATATTTTCCCTGAGGATTTCAGATGTAGGAATGTTTCTAAGGCACAAAGAGGAAGCAATTTTCACCGGAATTAACTTGAACAGAACAAACAGGTGTCATTATGATGGCCTTTACAATCACTCTGTAGACATCCGTGTATGAGTAAACAGTCCAACGCATGAATGAGATTCTTCCCACACAGGCTGCGTGAGCAGAGATTGGAAATTCTGCCTACTGAGATCACGAAAGGTCGCTCTTTCTAAAACAACTTTCTTTTTCAATAGTGTGACATTTGTTCTCAAACAAACTTACTGCACTCAAACTGCTAAATGCCAATTATCTATCTGCTTATCGACTACTGCTGTCAATTTTGCTTGAGGATGCTTTTCAAGTGCTGATACTATAAGAATTTCATCACTACTCCCTGGCTGTAAAATGAAAATAGGAACATACCACGCAAAACTAGTTTCAGCACTCTTACATTCTCCACACTTTGTACATGATTGGCTGCAGACATGATACTAAATCTGTTCTGCTATGCACACTGTTCACAAAACTGGGAAGAATGTTTTGTTCCAACATGAGTATGTCTTCACAAAGACACATATTATCCAGCCAACTGATGTGCAATGTAACACACAAATGAAATTTATCTACAAGTCACATTTATTGACTTTCAACAACAAATTCATATATTCTGCCTTTATACAAAATAAATGGCAATGCCTTCCTGTAGACTGCTTCAGACCTTAAATTAGTCTGAGGTTCAACAAACTGTTCTGTACAGAGCTTACACACTGGAAACACATATCAACATGGGCTATGCATACTTCTCTGTACTTACTTTCTATACTTTCCAGAGAAGTCGGTAGTTCGCTGATGATTTTGTAAATCTGCTCAACCGGCTGCATGCTTCCAGAGCATCCTTATCAACCCAATCATGAACAGCAACTTCAGAAAAAAAATTTTGTACTTTGTATTTTGGAAATTTGAAGTAGCTTAGATGTGCATGATGTGTTTTGTACTGGTAAGGTTACAAAGAGTCAGTTTTCTTTTGACCTTACTACACTGTTAAACACACTAGTAACTCCTCCACCACAGCACCACTCAGAGTTTCTTTGTCCTAATTGCTTTTACTTGGCCAGATAGTATCTCTGGTTTGTTGGCTACTATTTCGGCACAAGTGTGTGTGCATGTGTGTCCATAGTCACGTAACATGATATCAAAATACATTCCTTAATGTGCCTAGATGGTCTCTACGGGAATACAAAAGAAAATAAAACCACCCTATGCTTTAACACTACTATTGTGGAAAAAATTAGTAGAATGTGGGTGTAGAGCATTTTTCTCTATCAAGAAATTTCAGCAAACTTGATACAGTGAAAAAGTAGAGGTTTTTGTCTCACAGAAGAATGAGGGGTGGGAATGAAAGGGAAATTACAGATTAAGCTATGAAAAACACAGGGGAAAAAAAAAAAGTAAGAATCAGCTGGAATGAGGTCTCAACTTCATTATGCCTCTGTGCCGTTAGGATGACCAGTCAATAATGCCTGAAGTTTGCTAAAGCAGAGTAACTCAATGATTATCAAAAAGGTTATTTCTACTGTAAAGCAGGAGAGAGAATATTCAGAGAGGGACTTAAACTCTGGTTAGTAAGGACGGTTTTAAGAATTTTCTGTCAGAGGAGCCCATGTTTGCAAATGGAAGATAATGACTTCATAAATCCTCAAAATATGCGTACAATGAGAGTAAACTGAAAAATTTAATGGTAGAATCATGTAGACTATATACTGAAGAAAGTATTGCAACCAACTGTCTTTTGAATCAAGGAACCACAAGACGCATCCAGCACAGCCTAATCTAACATTGATATTCAAAGTTTTTTATCATATATGTGTTCAATGTGAGATTCACCTAACATTTTCACATTCTTATAAGCATTCCATAAGTACCGAGACAGCAACCCTAATCTGTTTTTACCTAACAGAAACAGACTCTCTCTTTTACCATCGTCTATCCCATTGACAAAAACTGAGATGTAAAGCGGTACTCCTCAATAAGTGAGCAATGAAACATAGAATAGTTTGGGTTGGAAGGGACCTTTAAAGGCCATCTAGTCCAACCCCCCTACAGTGAGCAGGGACATCTTCAACCAGATCAGGTTGCTCAGAGCCCTATCCAGCCTGACCTTGAATGTTTCAAGGGATGGAGCATCTACCATTTCTTCAGGCAACTTCTTCCAGTGTCTCACCACCATCATAATAAAAAATTTCTTCCTTATATCTAGTCTGAATCTACCCTCTTCTAGTTTAAAACCACTACCCCTTGTCCTACCGCAATAGGCCCTGCTAAAAAGTCTGTCCCCATCTTTCCTACAGGCCCCCTGCAGGTACTGGAAGGCTGCTATAAGATCTCCCTGCAGCCTTCTCTTCTCCAGGCTCAACAGCCCCAAATCCCTCAGCCTGTCCTAGCAGTGGAGCTGTTCCAGCTCTCTGACAACTTTTGTGTCCCTCCTCTGGACCCGCTCCAACAGGTCCATGCCCTTCTTGTGCTGGGGGCTCCAGAGCTGGATGCAGGACTCCAGGTGGGGTCTCACAAGGGCGGAGTAAAGGGGCAGAATCACCTCCCTTGACCTTCTGGCCACGCTTCTCTTGATGCAGCCCAGGATGCAGTTGGCCTTCTGGTCTGCGAGCGCACATTGGTAGCTCATGTCCAGCTTTTCATCCACTAGTACCCCAAAGTCCTTCTCCTCAGGGCTGCTCTCAATTCCTTCATCCCCCAGCCTGTGTTAATAGTGGGGGTTGCCCTGACCCAGATGCAGGACCCTGAACTTGGCCTTGTAGAACCTCATGAGGTTCACAGAAGACCACTTCTACAGCTTGTCCAGGTCCCTCTGGACGGCATCCCTTCCTTCAGCTGTCGACCACATCACTCAGTTTGGTGTCATCTGCCAACTTGCTGAGGGTGCATTTGATCTCACTGTCTATACGTCATTGATGAAGATATTAAACAGTACTGGTCCCAGTACAGACCCCTGAGGGATACCACTCGCCACCGATCTCCATCTAGACATTGAGCCACTGACAACTACCCTCTGGATGTGACCATCCAACCAATTCTTTATTCACCAGACAGTCCACCCATCTCTCCAATTTAGAGCAATGGATGTTGTGGGCGACCGTGTCAAAGGCCTTACAGAAGTCCAAATAGACGACATCCATAATGAAGTACATTAGAAGACAACAGATTTGCAAAATTAAGCATTCAAGAAGTGTCAAATCCTAGTATTA